TGATCCGAGCCCCGTCTTAGTTTCTATGTTACCCACAAGAATGCATTATCTATTCTGGAGAGCTGGACACGGCAACAAAATCTTGCGTTCCATTTGGGCTTTTTGGCCAAATTCACAATGGAAGTCTAATGTGGCCGAAATTGCTCACATTCACACTTTGGAATAACTGACATGACACAATTGTATGGACGCTCAGTCAGTAGGCAAGCTGAATGACTGCATTCTGACCAGATTTTGTGTGCTTTTCCTTTTTTTCACCTCACATTTTTTCGTTGCTAAACGGCTCTATTCCTCCTTTAACAGATACTCTGCAATTTCATTTACCCGATCTGGCATTTCTAATTAATAGGTTCTGATTCCTGTTGGACTGGGCTGCAGTTTTGTACTCGCCACTATCCCCAACCGGAATCGAATTCGGGTCGTGCGTTGCATACTTTCGACACGTCGACACTGCGCTACACGGCCACGAGTGTCATCATACATGTGATATGGAATGTCACGTCGGCCCTGTGGTTCACTGGCACTTGTGGCAATGTGGTGTACCGGCAACATGTGAAGACTACATGCTGCGCTATTCCAACTCGAGTTTGATTCTCGTTCAGCGTGCCAGTGGTGGTTGTGCTTTTAGGCGTCCAGACTGATGGAAGCTTCTACAGACAGTTACCCTCTTTTGTTCTACGATTTGCTAGAAACGGCTTCACTTTTTTACAATCTATGACCATTCGACTTGGTCCCTCTTTGTTGAGCTTACTTTTATTTCGAGTGAAAGTGTTGCGTGAAAAGATTCGAAGGTCGGTTCCACCGAAAGACGACGGCCGATTCCTCTTGACCGGCTGTCGATTGGCTTTACTGGAACATTCATGCTGACGCTATTTACGAATTAATCTCCTTCGATTCCGGTGAAAAGGTGGTAGGCTTTCGTGTGTCATATGACGAACATCATCACAACGAGGTATCATCTTCACAACAAAATTGAAGCGAACGCGTCAAGAAAACTTAAGAGATTTGCCGGTGAGTTTTCTTGACTCGTTAGCTTCATTTTTGTTGTGAAGATGATACCTCGTTTTGATGATGTCCGTCATATGACTCACGAAAGCTTAACACCTTTTCACCGGAATTGAAGGAGATTAATTCGTAAATAGCGTCAACATGAATGTTCCAGTAAAGCCAATCGACAGCCGGTCAAGAGAAATCGGCCGTCGTCTTCCGGTGGAACCGACCTTCGAATCTCTTCACCCAACACTTCCACTCGAAATGGAAGTAAGCTCAACAATTACGCAACAAGAGATTCCTCGAAACCTAACTCTTCTTCTTTGTTGTTACTTCGGCTCGTTTATTTTGCCTCCATCGCTTGGTGTACCCATATCCGATCTTGAGACATTTCATCTCCCACACGCCTACAGGAGTTACTTTTGTTTGATTTTGTTTTTAAGTTTTTTTTGGCTCCGAAAGACTCTCTTCCTTTCTCTCTTGGCCTCTGCGTGCCACACTTCGTTCCTGTTCAGTCGGTTCCTTGTGGTTGTGAAACTAGGCTAAAAGATGCCTCGAAAGCGACCCAGATTGAAGCTTTAATCAGGAACAAAGGTGATAGTCTTTCTTGCATTCATCAGTCTCTACAGCGAGAATGTATCATGAATCGGCTTATACTCGTTTAAACTCAATCGCCATGCGGACTTGTATTTCGTGTGAAAGGGTAAGATGATTAGCTCCATGTGTCCATCTCATTTGAAGGCAATGACTACGTGTTGTTGCAACGTTGCCCCTAACACTGTCGTCGAAACATCGTCCCTGAGTTCCGGGAAAGATGCGCTTAGTTCTCATCTTTCATTCAACTGACTTCATACAAACCGGACACTTTCCGCCGAAATTTCAGGCCGGTATTTGGTTAAGCAAAACAGTCAGCTTGTCGCTCCATACCGCCCACATACATACACTGACATCAAACATTTCGCAGCAACATTTGTGTGTGTGTGTGTGAGTGCGTGAGAATTTGCATATATTCACTGTGGTCGTCTTTCGTGTGTTTACCTTTTCCCTGAATCCTTCTGTCTGGTGAGAATCCTTAGTCCTACTCTGGAGGCCACAACAGGCACGGGTTGCGATGTTTTTAGCTGAAATTCACATCAAATCAACCCTTTGCGCCACGAGCACCCCAGCCTATTTGTAGAAGTGTCGTTCCCCTCTGCAGGTATGTGTGAAAATTGTGTTCTCGTGTGTTCTCGTGACCAGCCACAGTTTGACCAGAGCCAGGCTCTGTGATGCATTCGGACTGCAGCCTCGACGGCGTGAACGTCATCGCCACTTGGGCCACCCGTCCGGTGCGGCCTTTTGTCATTGTACCCACTGTCCACATCCATCTCACAACCCCATCCCCCAGTTGGTATGAACCCCGATTCTGACCACATATTGCCTCAGCCTCATGCTGCACACCCTTACTTGTTGGATTGACTAAAGTGTACTTTGTACAACACAACCTAACCGATGTGTGCGTCTCGCTTGTTCACCCTGGCAACTCAACTAGACGATGACATTGTTATTGTTGCACCAGTACATGCCTACTTTTACCACTTTTCCATGAGATGTTTACATTGGCGGTCTTCAGACTGGCACAATAACATTATTTTTTTTACTAGTTTTCCAGTGTCTTTCGACTGAATGAAACTCGTGCTCCTGAAATTCCAAACAATTTTTCGATTCACCTAGACACCTTAGTTTCGGGATATTTCTGATTGGTTAGTCTTGTCGACATGTTCAGCAGTTCACTGTCTAGCAGTTCTGATAGAGGACTTTGTGGTGATGCATTGGGATGATGTGAGGCTCGGGCTAGTCATGTGTTCCGAGAGGTTCTTTGTAAATACACACTATGGCAAATGATAAGCTGAGTCCTGCTGGCGATTCATTGGGATTTTGGGATCATGCTCTGAGAACGGCTATGCTGAATTCTACAGCTACAACTTCAAGACGATAGTTGGTTTCCAGCGCGGCCAACCTACCGATTCGTTTCACACGAATTTTAATACGAAACATAGTATCCTGAGACATAACGAATATGGGCTTTATCACATGGCCGAGGCCGTTTTAGTGACCTTTTATTAGCTCAATCATTTGTCTGTTAAGGATGTGCTCGGTTATGTTGTTTTTAACGTTCTCTCTAAGCCCTATGTACAGCTACATTACTTAAGCATTCCGCCTTCTGTTCATGGAATCGGTCAAGCAATGCCATGGCAACGATACGACTGGACATTGGTAGTGTTCCTTGACATGCAATTGGACTGCTATCTGAGATTATTTTGCTTTCGTGTGAAGTGTGCGTTGAGGAGATTCTCCGAAAGTCAGTTTTTTCTTCATACATCAAATATGTGACAGCACTTATGGATGAATTTCTGTTTGGATTCCACCTTTACTGGTGCATCTACAGGGCCATGTCTGAAGAGTGATCGTCCAGGAGTTCTCTTTTCGGTCTTTTAGCTGCCGGTATTCTTGGGGCATGCTATTCGTACTGTAAGGCAAGCAGCGGCAAATCACTTATGCTTTTTGTCTCACAAGAGCCTGTTTTTGAATGACCTTTTTTGATCTTGGAAGCACCTTTTAAACACATTCTTACATTTATTTATGCATAGGAATTTATATGTCAGTATGCATTCATATATATACATATTTATATATCTACGTATATGTGTGTATGCATATACATATACGTATATGCACGTACGAATTTTGGTATGTATCTATGTATGTATGTACATGCTTGCATGTGTGTATCTATGCCTACACACAAAAATATGCATGCATGTATCTGCCCGAGGGCTAAGGCTTTCCTGACCAGTTATATTCTTGAAACTGGCAAAAAACAATAGTCCCAGGCATGCTGTAACCATGCGAAT